CTCCCACGGGGTGCAGGGCCCAAGCACTTGGGCCATCCTCCACTGCACTCCCTGGCCACAGCAGAGAGCTGGCCTGGAAGAGGGGCAACCGGGACAGAATCCGGTGCCCCGACCGGGACTAGAACCCGGTGTGCGGGCGCCGCAAGGCGGAGGATTAGCCTGGTGAGCCGCGGCGCCGGCCTGTAACTCTGCCTTTCAAAAAATAAATGTCTTTAAAAAAAAAAAAAAAAGAAAGAAAAGCAGCACCACCTGTGTAGTGGATTGCTTCTCCTACACACAAGTTGCAACCTGAAATAACCTCATCTGATCATAGGTGATGCCTGGCACGGGGCTGCCTGGATGTGACACTAGAGATGCGATTACCCCCTGACCACGCCCCCCCTGCTTTGAAAGCCTGGCAGTGGACACACCCAGACAGTCCTAGGTCCTGACTAGGAGCTTGCTGCAGGAGGTAAGGGCCGTAATCACAAGGAGAGACACTTGGTGAGGCTCGTGGCTTCTGCAGGCAAAGCTTTTTCACTTCTACTCCGCATTTGGTTGGCATTTACAACCTTCAGATATTAACACTCATTAATATCAATGTCTGAGTACCTAGAAATTAGCTTCCTAAAATTACTAGATTTTGTATTAGCCATTCATTTATTCACTCAATACACATTGATTAAGTGCTAGGCAACATGTGCTAGGCAACCTGCTCATGGAAGCCTGGGTAAATAAATAAGATGGGGTTCTTGCCCTGCAGAAGCCCGCATGCATTCACATGTACAGCAACAGGCACCATGAGAGGTCTTATGTTAAGGCATGTATATATACATGTATGTGCATGTGCACACAGACACACATCTATACAGGGTGGGTACCCCTTATCCAAGGGACCAGAAACATTGAGAATTCAGATGTTTCTGGATTTTGGAATATTTGCATGTGCATAAATATCTTGGGGATGGGACCTAGATCTAAACATGAAATTCATTTATGTTTCATATATATCTTATAACCTAAAGATAATATTTTATAGTATTTTTAGTGTAACTACATTTTTCCTGTGACTGCTCACATGAGGTCTGGTGTGGAAATTTCCACTTGTGGTGTTATATTGTTACCCCCAAGTTCTGGACTTCGGAGCATTTTGGATTTTTGGATTATGGCTACTCAACCTGAGAATATGTACTCCTATAAATACACATTTACATGCATGTACAGGTAAAGTACACATGTGATTGAGAGACAGAGGCTTTCTGTGTGTGTGTATAAAAGGGGTCTTCAAAAAGTTTATAGAAAGTATGTATTATGCATTTCAAAAAATTTTGCAGCAAATTGAAGCCATACCAAATGTTATAACATATCTGCACAGGATCTAGTTTGAGGCACTAAAAAGGAGAAGGCATCAATTTGAAAACTGGGAAAGAACCCTCCTCAAGGCAACATGAATTCTGCTAAAATCGAAGCAAGAGTATCGAATCGATGGTGAAGGCTGGGTGGCAGAACGATGAAATCACTGATGCTTTATGGAAACTTTACAGGAACAATGCCCCAAAGAAATCAGCAACTCACAAACGGGCAACACATTTTAAGGATGAGATGATGCTGAAGATGCAGCCTGCAGTCTCAGACCATCCGTATCCATGTACAAGGGAAAACTTAATCTTGCTTGTGTCTTAACTGAAGAGACCCAGCAGAAACAGCCAGCACTACTGGCATCTCAACTGGTTCATCTCCCACAGCTCTGACAAATTAAAGTGCAGCAAACTTTCTGTTCAGTGGCTGCTACAATGTTGCACCCAGATCAGCTGCACACAAGAGCAGAGCTTTCAATGGATCAAGATCCTGAAGCCTGTCTTGAAAGAATTGGAATAGGAGACAAAAATGGCTTTCCCCATACCATGCTGAAGACAAAACACAACCATAGCAATGGCTACCAAAAGGGGGGAAGCAGTCCAGTAATGCAAAAGCAGACCGGTCAAGAGCAAAGGTCACAGTCACAGCTTTTTTGGGGATGTTCAAGGCATTCTGCAAGTCCAAAGAATGATAACACCTGCTTATGAGAAGAGTTTCTTGAGAAGGTTAGCCAAAGCTTTAGCAGAAAAATGCCTGAGAAAGCTGCACCTGGAGTCCTGCCCCATGTCATGGCTCCTGCTCGTCCCTCTCATCAAACAAGGGCAAGAGTTGCAATGGCGAACCATTAGGCACCCACTTTTCAGTCCTGATTTGCCTCCTTGCAACCTTTTTTGGGAGGAATCTTTAAAAAAATCTTTAAAGGACACCTGTTTTTCTTCAGTTAGCGATGTGAAAGGGGTTGCACTGACATGGTTAAATTCCCAGGACTCCCAATTCCTTAGGGATGGGCTAAATGATCAGTATATTTATATTTTTATCTGTTAATTCCATTGGATGGGGGGGATGTATTAATACTTTAAAAAGTTCTTGGTAAATGGTAAAGACAAGTTTGGTAAAGACAAAGAGGGACAGGTGTGACGCACAAGAGTAAGCCACTGCTAGCATCACTGGTGCCAGCTACTCTGTTTCCAATCCAGCTCCCTGCTAATGGGCCTGGGAAAGCAGTGGACAATGGCCCAAGTGCTTGGGCCCCTGCACCCATGTGAGAGACCTAGATGAAGTTCCGGGCTCCTGGCTTTGGCCTGGCTCAGCCTTGGCTGTTGCAGCCACTGGGGAGTGAACCAGCAGATGGAAAATGAATGTTGCTGTCTCCATCTCTCTTCCTTTTCATCTCCCTCTCCCTTTACTCTGCCTTTCAATTAAATGAGTAAATAAAAAAAATCTTTAAAAAGAAGATATTTATTTTGGTGTCATAATCTCATTCGTAATGAACTTTCTAAAGATCCTTCACACATCTACACAGGGTGGTGGGCAGGGGAGGGCTGGATGTGACTGTACTGTACAAGGTGTAAAAAGCAGGGGCACTGGATTTCCAGAGAGTGGAAGGGTGAGCACGACGGTCTGTCCTGGTGGATAAAGAAGGACCCTGGGGCAGAAGGGACAGCATGGGGCAAAGGCCCAGGCATGCGAGTACGCAGGCCGATGTGACGAGGCAGCGATGCAGCAGACCCAGCAAGGGCGGTGGTGTGTACTGGGCATTTGCTAGGTGTCAGGCGGTCTTGTAAGCACCTCACAGGTAGTTCCACCTGGCCTGAGCCACAGGTGCGGAGTGGCCGGAGGAGAGGCTGGACGAGGGAACGTCTGGAATGCTGGGCTCAGGGGTCTGCTCTTTGTCCTGCAGGGGAGAGTGCCTGCAGGCGCACATCAGGTGCGGGCAGGATCTGCCTGGTGACGGCCAAGGCTCCTCTGCTAGCTGAGCACGGGCCAGGTGGGAGGATGAGAGGGGAGGAGCCTGGAAGATTCTTCAGTAGTTCAGACAAGAGCGGATCGGCCAAGTGACGTGAGCAGAGGGAGTGGGTTCAGGGGAGAACTCTGAGCAAGACGAAGTGGGCCTGGTGACTCCCCATATCCATGGGGACAGGGCGGCAAGGAGGAGGGAAGGAGTCACCTGGAGAAGGAGACGCATCCCTAGCGAAGTACCTGGCTTCAGTGTAAGGTGTCCCCATGTGTAGGGGCCTCACGGGCAGAGTTCAAACAAGGAAGCAACTTCAGTCAGGCTGGGTCTGTCCTTGCAGCATGAGCTCAGCCCTAGTTCTCACCTGTCTCCTCTTTGCCTTACATTTCCACACCAACAGCTGGGAAGCAGCACAGGGACACAGGCTCACCGTCACAGAGGCCACACACTCAGGGAACACTCAGGCCAAGACAGCACAGAGGCACAGCCTCACCCACCCAGCCTAGGGAAAGACACACAGGAATGAACACACAAACACATGCGTCCACAGATCAGGAGGGAGGGACCCATGGACACACCCCCACACACAGGCCTCTAGATCAGGGATGGCCCGCGCACACAGATCCACTGATGAGAAAGAGACAGATACACAAATGTGTTCATATGGGGCTGGTGCTGTGGTGTAGCAGGTGAACCTGCCACCTGCAGTGCCGGCATCCCATGTGGGCACCAGTTTGAGTCCCAGTTGCTCTACTTCCAATCCAGCTCTCTGCTATGGCCTGGGAAAGCAGAAGATGGCTCAGACACTTGGGCCCCTGCACCTGCGTGGGAAGACCCAGAGGAAACTCCTGGCTCTAGGCTTTGGGTTGGTGCAGCTCTGGCCATTGTGGCCAATTGGGGAGTGAACCAGCGGATGGAAGACCCTCCCCCACCCCCCCAGCCTCTCTCTCTCTGCTTCTCTATAACTCTGCCTTCAAATCAATCAATCTTTTTTTTTTTTTAAACAGGCAGAGTGGACAGTGAGAGAGAGAGAGAGAGAGACAGAAAGGTCTTCCTTTTGCCGTTGGTTCACCCTCCAATGGCCGCCGCGGCCGGCGCACTGCGCTGATCCAAAGGCAGGAGCCAGGTGCTTCTCCTGGTCTCCCATGGGGTGCAGGGCCCAAGCACTTGGGCCATCCTCCACTGCACTCCCGGGCCACAGCAGAGAGCTGGCCTGGAAGAGGGGCAACGGGGACAGGATCCGGCGCCCCAACCGGGACTAGAACCCGGTGTGCTGGTGCTGCTAGGTGGAGGATTAGCCTATTGAGCCATGGCGCCGGCCTGAATCAATATTAAAAAAATTAAAAAAAAAAAAAAAAGCCACGTGTTCACTGATTCCAGAGGAGCTCACATACACAGTTTGGTAGGTCACAGAACACATGCCAGTATGCACATATGGGACTGACCACAGGCAGGCCCCAAACTGAAAGTTTTTCTAGAGAGGGTGGGGCCTATTTCCAGCTCCCCAGCAGAGGAGCTGTGACTACAACTCATTCAGGTCAGTTTCCAAGAAGACATGGAAACTGATCTGGTCTCTCACACTCTCTCCATTCCCATGTCCACTTCCAGGTAAGCAGCTGTGACTGAGAACCACAATGCCTACCTAGCAGTAAGCAAACCATGCACTGCTGATTAAACACGACCCCGGCGCCACTCAGCCTCCTCCTACCGAATAGCTTCTGCAGGACTTGTCCGTCGTACAAATCTTCAGCCAGGTCCTTCACGATGATTCTTTCTCCAACCAACACGTCATTAATCCAGTCAATTAAAACCTGCGGAGAGAGAAGAGAACCGAACCGAAGATCAGCGGGTCTTTTCTTCCAGGCCAGCCTTGTTACCTGGGACAACTGAAAGCTAAACAAACTGCAGGTTGTAAAAGCAACATATTTATCCACACAACTCAATGCACGGACAGGCAGCTGTGACGGCCAGCTGCAGTGGCCCTGATCATTTTTCAGCTGTCATCTAGGGGTGTGTGCGCACCTCTGCTCCTCTGTCTTGCATGGACCTGTGCTTGTGTGCACCTCCACGATCTACGCATCTGAGGTGAGCTAGCATCGTCTCCGAGCCTCTGCTTCCCAACGTGCAAAACTGAGCATGAAAGTCTATCTCACAATAGGGGGCGGAAAAGAACAAGGGACAAATACTGAATGGAAGGCAGATTTGTTAATAACAAGGCACCGTCCAGTTAGGGCAGTTGGTCAGGTGTGCAGAAGAGGTTACCCGCACAGAAAGACAGATCTGCCCATGGTCACCGAGCTGAGCGGGCCCTGGTCCAGCTCACTCCCACACACACGTGTGTTCTGTCTCCACCCTGAGCCGCCATGCACCAGGCACTGCACTATCCTCTCCCTTGTCTCTCTGAAGCAGCTGTGACCTGAAGCCTTACTGTGTGCTGTGTAACTGATCCACACGACACCCCCGAGAGGCACCTGTCCTTAGTTCCGTCTCAGGTAGCCAAAGTGAGACTTGGACACTGCTTTTCTTTGTTCCTTTTTTCACCTAGTAAGATGTCGTCTATGTACAATCCAGCGGGCTGTGTCCTGGTCATCGCACACAGCTGTGTGACCCACAGTCCAGATACAGAAGAGTTCTCTCCCCCAGGATGTGTCCTCAGGGCCCTCCCCCGCCCAGCAGCCTCAGCAAACCCCTTCCATCTGCCTTTTCCATGGTCTCATGTCCAGGGACCAACCTCACCTCTGATGTTTGACTTCTCTGTGTTAGCATAAACCCTTGCCTCTGCAATGCAGGCAGTATGGGCAGGGTGTCCATCCCGGGCAGGCAGGGATGGATGAAGGAGCCCGTGGGCCCAGTACACTATCCCACTGTCACAAGGCAAAGGGATGGTCACTATTGTACACCTACTGTATACCAGGCCCTACCTTGGATCCAATGCCATAAGTCCCTGTCCTGGTGGAGCTTGTGAGAGGTGAGGGAAACCAGTTAATGGAAGGATTACAGCACACAGGGTTTGAATCCTGAGGCTGCTGTGGGACAGCAGAGGAGAGGCCCCGCCCAGGCTGGGGCAGGTAAGGGGGGAGCAGGGATGAGGGGGGCTCGCAGAAATGCTTGTGCTTAAAAAGATGCAAACGAAGACCAGGGACTGCCCAGGAGACTGCAAAGTCAGGGTGGTGGAAGCAGCCTCTCCCCGGCAGTGAGGAGGTATCCTGGGCTGTGTGCGGCGCTGTGCCCGAGGATAGCACCCAGGGCACAGGTCCCCGGGCAGCAACGTGTACCACCCACTGCCACCTCCTCACACGACGCAGGTGCAGTCTGGGAGGTCAATGCCCATTCTGGCCATGGCTGCACCCTCAGGGGTCTCCCGGGCCCGCAGGAGTGCACACCTGCCAGCGCGGTGAGCATCCTGTGAGCAAGTCTAGGGCTGAGCTCTCTCCCGGTGCCCCTGAGATGTCCCATGGCCGGCAGGGCCTCAACCCACAGCCATCCCAGCTTCTCCCCGTACAGCATGGTGAGGGGTCAGGGGGGTACTGGGCCAGGCAGCCAGCCACAGTGTAGCACGGACTGTGCCAGGCAAAAACAAGATGCCTGGCATCACAACCCAGCTCACCTGCTGCCTCGGGTTATGGCCCCGGGGTGTGAGGGGCTGCAGGGGCCCAGCCTGAGCTGCCTTCTCCCTGCTCTCCCTGGGACTCTGGCGGAAGGGCACAGATGCAGGCAGGGAACAGACGCTTACTGCGTCTGCCTCTGTCCCCGGTGGGGTGGCCCAACCCTGCGCTGGGTTCGCTCCACCGAGGAAGCCTCCGCCAAAGAGACGAGACCCCTGATCCTGCTTCTAAACAGCCTGAGATCCCTCCCATCTGCTCACCCACCCCTCCTCCTGCCTCCCTGTACCCAGCCAGCCAGTGTTTGTTGAGTGCCTACTACATGCGACAGCCTGTGCCAGATCCTAGGGGTACAGCCATGAAGGAAAGACAGACGTCTCTAATCCCAGGAAGCTCACCACTGAGGGAAGGAAGCAGAGAAGAGCAGGAGCAGGTGCAGTGTCATGTGGAGGCCACAACAGCAGAACTAAAGGGACCACGGCAGCACCCAGAGGGGCTGAGGGATTGCGCTCGAGTCGAAGGAGGGCTTCCTGGAGGAAGGGACATTCTTTATTTTTTAAAGATTTATTTATCTGAAAGTCAGAGTGAGAAAGAGATCTTTCATCAACCGGTTCACTCCTCAGATGGCTGAAATGGCTGGGGCTGGGCCAGGCCAAAGCCAGGTTGCTAGGAGCTTCCTCCAGGTCTCCCACATAGGTAGCAGGGGCCCAAGCATGTGGGCCATCTTCTGCTGCTTTTCCCAGTCATTAACAAGGAGCTGGATCAGAAGTGGAGCAGCCAGGACACGAACCAGCGCCCACATGGGATGCCAAATCACAGTCTGAGGCCTCATTGCCTACGCTGCAGTCAGATGCAAGACAGGAAGGACCCACAGAGGCAAAGGCACCGGGCAGTGCTGGGAGCAGACACAGCCTGGTTAGGACGGGCAGGTCTCGTGCGGCTGCGTCGCCAGGCGGGGGACGATCCGAGGTTGAGGAGGCAGCGCCAGCCTGGAGCCCAAACACCAATGACAGGGGTGGGGGCTTCCCCGGGTGGGTGATGGGAGGCTACAGGCTTTGGGCAGGAAAGTGGCGGGTGTGGATCTGCACGGGGAGAGACGCCCACTGAGACCTGGTGCCTTTCTGTCCTCACTGCAGCGTGGCGAGGCTGACGGGGAAGACCACAGGGCAGGGCATTCGAAGCGGGGAGAAATGAACAGTCTGGGAGGGGCGACCGCGTGCCAGCCTCCATATTGAATTCCGTCTCCAATGGGCTTTTCTGAGACGGAGTTTGCTCACTTGGAAAGCGGGGCGGACACTCAGTGGGACTTCCCAGTGGAGAGACTCGGAATTCTCAAATCCCGGCCAGTGTCAGCTTGCTTGTCCCCACTTCTCCGCGCTGACACCGTAGTTATGTTTCAGAGTCCAGCCAGAGACCATGAGCCGCCCGAGGGCCGGGGCCGCCATGACAGTGCTCTCTCTGCACTGGCCCGCAGGGCACCTGCCCGGAGGGGTCAGGGGGGTACTGAAGGTTCTTTCACCCTCAGGGGCCTCCCCCGGCTCTCCTTACCTTCATCAGCTCCTGAAGTTTGGGGTCGCTGCGGGAGTTTGGATCCACCATGGTTCGCACTTCGTTCTCCTCTTGAGAAAGAAAAGACATTCAGTGGGGGAGGTTGCACGTGAGGGCCCTCAGCCAGCAATAAGAGACAAAAGGCGCAGTTACCCAGCATGGTGTCCTCAGGGTCCAGCTCGAACGGGATCGGGCTGAGGGGCAGGTTGATGGCGTTCATGCCCTCCTCCTGCAGCTCGGACACTGGAAGACAAGGAAGAGCCTGGTCACGCGTCAGCCACCTGCCCACCGGCACTCTGGAACACACGTGTTCGATAGTGACACTGAGAGTAAACCTGCGCGGGTTAGATGACAGCTGCTAGCCTGCAATCGATTCCTGGCCTCTCCCGGCTGAGAGGACCTGATTGTCCCCTTAATCTGCCCTCTCCTGAGTGTCACCTCACTCATCTCCCTCTGGGAACCAGAAACCTCCCTCTCGGAAGGACGACGGAACACACAGGGGTGCGGTGGGTGCCGACCTCTTTCTCGCTCTCTCCTTTTGTCTCCAGCTTGCCACTCTGTCAAGGCTCAAGCTCAGGGGCACTGGGGGTGGGGGGGGAACCAGTGACTGCTTGTTGACCGGATGAACAAGGACTATGCTTGCACCCTCAATCCGTTCCAGCTTCCCCCGACTTCGCTCCTGGATTGGCTGCCCTGGTGATCTGCCCTCCCTTCTCCACCCGGCCCCAGCTGCCACTCAGGACTGTCAGTCTCAGCCCCTTTCCTGGGCTCTGGTCTGGGCTCTGCAGTGCCCACCAGCTGTGAGACCTGGGGCTGGGCTTCTCCCCACGCTATGCCTGTTTCCCTCTGCTGCACACGAGACACGCCCCTGGACGCCCAGTGAATTCTAGTTTTCAAATCCCAGACACCTAAAATTCCACCTTTGTCAAGAAAAGTTAGCAAAGGTCAGTGGCCAAAGAGACTTCTAGCCTGCTCTCCTCCAAGTTCCCAGCCCCTACATGGAGGCTTCGTCGAAAAAACAAATAACCCTACCACAAAACCAGCTGTGCAACGAACACTTGGTGAGCACTGACCTTGGATTACCCCCCCAGAAAAGCAGCAACTTGTACCCCCCTCCTTTTGCCAACTAAGCACAACTAAGCCACCCTCTCCAGGCATCGCTCACCGAGGGGTTCTCCAAGAGTGAACACGGCAGCTGCAATCAACCTTAAGAAAGCAATGTGCCATCTTCCCGTTTTTATTTTTATGGATGCCAGCCTCCTCGGTTGCCAGCATAGGCACGTGAGAACTCTCAGGCACAGGCAGCCATGCACAAGGGGTTCTTTCACACCAGCAAACGCGCAGTTGGACAGGGAGGGAGACCACCTAACAGAGATGATGAAACGCACTCTCTCCTTGCACAATGAAGCTGGCACCTGGTCCCATCCGCAGTAGGCACTTGACATTCATCAGGACAACAGCCAGTCAGTCGAGAATCTCCACATGCATAGACACCCTCCCTTCCAGAGGACTCCATAAAATCTAAGAGGGGCCGGCGCTGTGGCACAGCGGGTTAAAGCCCTGGCCTGTAGTGCCGGCATCCCATATGGGTGCTGGTTCGAGTCCCGGCTGCTCCACTTCCCATCCAGCTCTCTGCTGTGGCCTGGGATAGCAGTGAAAGATGGCCCAAGTCCTTGGGCTCCTGCACAAACGTGGGAGACCTAGAAGAAGCTCCTGGCTCCTGGCTTCAGATAGGCACAGCTCTGGCCATTGCGGCCAACTGGGGAGTGAACCATCAGATGGAAGACCTCTCTCTCTGCCTCTCCTCTCTCTGTGTAACTCTTTCAAATAAATAAATAAATCTTAAAAAAAAAAAAAAAAGCTAACAGAAAGCTGGCTGTGACGCCTTCAAAGGTCGCCGGTCCTGTGAGTACAGAGTGCGTCTGTTCTCTGGCTGAGCGTACCTGCGTCCTGCTGCCATGCCTGCTTCTCCGACCTCCCCTAGATCTAGCAGTTGGCTTGCTTTTGCAGGTGAGCTCTCGCTCCAGATCTCCCTCTCTCCGCCCCCCCCCCCCCCAGCCCAATTCTCCTTATTTGATTCCCACAGCATGCCCACCGGGGCTTGTCAAGTCTTGCTTCAGCGAGGGTGCAAGGCTGAGCCTCTCGCAGGGCCAGTGAGGAAGCTGCTGTGGCTCGGGGCCTTCTTGCCTCCCTCCATGCCAGACCCTTTGATTAGCTCCTTGCCACCTCATATTTTATTTACTTTTAAAGTTTCTTTTGATGTTTATTTTCACTTACTTAAAAGGCAGAGTCACACACACACACAATCTTCTATCCATTGGTTCACTCTGCAAATGCCCACAACAGCTGGAGCTGGGCCAGGCCAAAGCCAGGAGCCTGGAATTCCATCCTGGTCTCCTGTTTAGGTGGCAGGGGCCCAAGCACTTTACCCACCACCTGCTGCCTCTCCGGATGCATAAGCAGGAAGCTGGATTGGAAGTGGAGGTGCCAGGACTCGAACCAGGCACTCTGCTAAAGGAGTCGATGAGCAGGTATCTTGAGAGGTGGTTTAACTTGCTGCCTCCCAAGGCCCACCCTCTGGGATTTTATTTCCTTCAGAGCACTCACTGCAATCTGAAATAATGGCTGATGACGTGTCGTTACTTGAGTGCCCACCAGAACATAACCCATGTGATACCTGGTACTTCTTCTCCCTTGTGCACTATTAGATCCCCGAAGAGATAGATGGTCCAGTGGCTAGGAGCCAGGCTGCCCAGATTCAAACCCAGAGTCCACCACTGACTGGCTGTGTGACCTTGGGCCACTTCACCAACCCTTGTGCCTCAGTTTCCCCATCTGCAAATGGGCGTGATGACAGAATCGTCCGCCTCCCAAGTTGTTGAGAAGATGAGGGGAGTTAACATAAACAAAGTACTCAGCACAGTCCCTGGCCCCTGACAAAAGGTGTGCAAAAATATGCTGCTGCCATTAGGACTTAACACAGCACCTTGGCCCCGAGAATCTAAGGAATCAATAAGTTCCTTTAAGGAAAGGAAAAAAAATCTGAAGACGTTTTTATTTTTATAAAAACAATTTCAAAAAAATTAAAAATACTGCACCTTGAGAACAATAAGCACTCAAGAAATGATTGTCGCGTAATTAACCAAAATGGTTGAGAGTACCTTTTCACTGCACGGATCACGAGCTGAGACAGGCTTTGCCAAAGCAGTGTACGAGATAGGATCCCGCCAAAGGATCTGACCCTGACCTTGTGCCCAGAGATAAAACATGGAACAATACATTAGCACAGCCCTGTGTGTGTGCGTGCACATGTGTCTGTGTGGGTGCGTGCAGGCAACTGTGTGTGGGTGTGGGTATGGGTGTGTGCGCGCACCTATGGGTGTGTGTGGGCAAGTGTGTCTGCGTGGGTGTGGATGTGTGTGCATGCACGTGGGTTTGTGCACGTGCGTGCACGTGTGTGGGTGTGTTTGTGTGCACGTGTGTCTATATGGGTGTGGGTGTGGGTGCACATGTGTGTGGGTGTGCATGCATGTGTGGGTGTGGGTGTGGGGATGGGTGCACACACACACTCCTGGGCAGCACTTCCTGTTCGCATTGTGTAAGGGGAAAAAAGCCACCTGTGTCCCTGTAGCACCGGAGCCACGTTGGACAGCGAGGTATTGAAATACACCAGAGTGCGACGAGCCTTGCAATATTCCCAGCCCGGACTCTGCAAAGTGGGTCTGCGCAGCAGCCCCGGCAACGTGGCGATCGCTGGGAAAAAGCTTTCAGACTGAAAAGCAGGCAGAGGCCCTCAGGTCTGACCTGCCTGCCTGCTTGCTCACTCACAGACGTGACAAACCTGAGAAGAAAGGCCGCGGCAGGACTGCTGTGGGAGACGTTGTTTTCCGGAAATGATTTGCTACAGGAACATCACTGCCATCCCATTAACTGCTGACTCGGAGCCAACTGTTTGTAAAAGTGAATATGCAAACTGCCCAGTTGCAGTCCCCGCCCCCGCCCTGTGGGGCCCCATTAGTGGCCACTTTGCCCAAACAGCCCGCCTGCTCTGGAGGTTCCGTCTCTATTAAACCCAGGCGGGACCCAGCAGAAGCCCCTTGCCAATCCCGGCAGTGCTCGGAGACACAAAGAGCTGCAATTGAATTTTCGCAATTGAATCGAATATGAACACGATGTTTATCACTGAGCCTCCGTGAACAATCTCATCCCAGGTCTGCGCGTGGGGACGCAGCGCCATTAGTCATAACTTAATGGGCAGATTCAGCGCTCAGCTCAAGGGCCGGCTGGGAGGGCCAGGAGGCTGGGTCTACTTCTCGTGCATCTCCACACCCCTCTCCCCAGCCAGGGGCTTTTAGTTTCCTGGAAGCGCAGCTCAACCCAGAGCAGCACTGGGCAGCGGGAAGCACGTGGACCGACCAGTACACGAAGTCTGAGACTTGACCGCTCTTTGGTTTTCATGGGTGGGAGCCTCTGATTCCACCCCCTTGAAGGTCGGTAGAAGCCAGTTCTCCTCAATGCTAGGGTATCGGGGACACTGCCGGCGGCCTCCCTGACACTATCCTCCTTTCTGCTCAAAGAAACCCCGGGCTCCAGCACACACCCCACCTGCTTATGCCTCAAGGCCAGATCCCCACTGGTTTAAACCAGCCACAATGACCAACCACTGTGGCACTGATTGGCTCAAGTACTGTCATGGGATCTAACTCCTGTCAATGCACTGTGAGAAGAAACTTTGAGCAGCTTCTAGGAATAGTTTTTCTCCATTATAAAGAAAGACCCAAGGAAGACAAGGCATTTTTCTCCTTCCGAACATGACCATATCTGCATGTTATACCCGGGTTTGTTGCAGCCATTTTGTAGCCAGGAGGTGACTTAGCCTAAGGAAGACCCTAATATGCTCGGCTGGCAGAGAAGAAAGAAAGAAGGGGGTCCTTACTGGGGCCATCTGTTGAGCGCCCACCCCTGGAGCCACCACAGGTCTATGTGTCTTGTGTAAGAGCTGAGATAAGTTCCCTTATTCTTCCGGCCGGAAGAGCAGGTGTTTCCGGAACTTGGTGCTCAAACTTCCCAACTGATACGTGGGGATAACAGAATTACGCAGTTGATGGATGAGTGGGAGAGATGGGCAATGAAGGGTAGTTTCTCCCTCCTTTCTCCATGAGGAACAGAAGAGCTACAGGCACTTACAGGACTCCTGACCACGTCCTCACCAAGGGAGGGCAGGCAGAGAGCGGCCACGTCCT